TGATGCTGTATACAAATCTGTGTACTTGGTTGTGTGACACAAATCAGAATACTTGTGGACATCTTATTCCTCTTTGATTCAATCTTCTCAAAGGCCCATACATGTCTTTACCGGTTCAAACCAATTAAATAATTTCATCCCTCCCTCCCTCTTAAAAAAAATCCAACACTCTTAGTGTTTTGACTCAGGATATAGCTATGCTAATAACCACAACCAATTGAAAAGTAAAATTCAGTGCATCAGCTTTTTGCTTAGTCTGTACAACACAGACTGATGTTTTCTTTCACTCAGATAAGTGACAACCTATTTTTTTGATGTCTTTGAACACATCCTCTTCAATTTTCCCAGGAATCTCTATCTAATTAAAACAAGATAAAGTCTTAATAAAGTTTTTTTTGTTCAGATCTTCTACTTTAACTTCCCCAAACATTAACTTTTCTTTTATAATTTCATCAGAAGAAAAAAAAACAAAAACAAAACCATGTCTCTTGATGTTTAATGCTTATATGATGAAATCGATTGCTACTAAAAAGTCTATTCCCCTATGGCTTCATTCCTTTATTAGAATGAATGTTCCTTGAGCTCACAGTGCTTAGAAGGATAGTGTGTGCTAATAAATACTTTTTTTTCATTCATTACTTTAATCATAGTATTCTCTAAGAAAGAAGTGAGAATCTTCTTTTAAAAACCTCTTCCTTTTCTTGTGCAAAAAAACAATCATGGGTTACCATATATAAAAAGGTGTTCAACTCCCACCTTCAAATCCCCCCATTAATATAAATGCAATAGGCCAGGCATCTTTATTGAATCAAGAAACAATAACAAGAGAAAACTAGATTCAAACAAGTTCTAGGCAGTTTTATTGAATCAATTAATCATAAGTATATACTAGATATGAATAAAGTCCTTAATTTGGAAGGAGTGAAATTCTTTGATAATTGGATTAAATCAGATTACTCACAGGAAATGAATTGAGATTGGTGGAAAGAATTAGATATATTTTAGCCTCTGTGTGTATGTATGTATATATGTAGGTATACACACACGTGTCTTTGCTTTGAAAAGTGGGAAGGTTTGGTTATAGTCTGTAGCAGTATTCCTAGAATGGCAATGGCTGATGTAGCATTCATATTAGGATCTAAAAGACACACAAAGGACCAAATGGAGACACCAGGAACAGGCAGCTTCAAGTCTCTACAACACTTAGAATCCATCAGAGAACTACACCTAATAGCACATTCTTACATATACCATAAAGAGAGAAAAGGATTTTTAGTAACTAGGCACTATATTTTCCCCTTTTCTCACATGAGCTCTTTAAGCTTAAGACCACTTTCACCATGAACTTTGTGTGGAATTGCGGGAGATAATATCCCAGGCCCTTAAACCCCAATGGCAGTAGTAGTAATCTTATAATAATTCTCTGGGAATTAAGACTATGAATGAAAGTAAGAGGTAGGGATATAGTCCAAGAGAGATTGCTAGATGTACAAATTTGTCTTGTTTGTCAGTACTGGACCTCATGGTCCTACACAGAATGGGGATAAAGTTTCAAGGTCTTTAGAGTACCATCCTATCAATTCCCCAAAAGTTCAATACTGACATGACTGGAAAAACTATTTATTTCTGCTATTTATAGCAGAAGCCAAGCTTAGCTGAACTTTAGCAGCAGCACGGACAGAGAAACCTATTCTTGATAGTGATGGTCCTTTGACACAAAATGGGACAACTCCTTTCTTCCGCACTCAATTCCTTCCTTCATCTTCCATTTCTTCTCTGGTGCCAGTCTTGCTATTTTGAATTTCCCTCTTGTGAAATCATGCCCTAGTCCATGTCACCCTTTATTATTACTGTTATTTTTTGTTATAATTATAATAATTATTATTTTTATTCAAGAAACAATGTGACATCACCATTAGAAAACCATTCTTGTAGGCAGGAACATGTAGTTTCAGTTCCACCTCTGATACATTTTGTGATAAACACTGACAAACTGAAATACATAGAGAGGAGTGTGAACAGGATGCTGAGGGGACTGGAAATTTTGCCATGTGAAAATCATTGTATGGGATTGAGCATGCTAGAATTTTGGATAGGTATACTTTTCACACAAAATACTACTGGTTTTTTTTTTCAGTCAAGGCTTTAAGGGAGCACAATGAATGCAAAGACTGTCTCTCTGTCTCTCTCTCTCTCTCTCTCTCTCTCTCTCTCTCTCTCTGTCTCTCTCTCTCTCTCGCTCTCTCTCTGTCTCTCTCTCTCTCACACACACACACACACACACACACACACACACACAAATAAAAAGTTCCCATCTGAAAACCTGGACCTTGAGAACCAGAGCATTTATTTATTCATGTCACATCATTTCCTCTTTTCTCCAGAATCCTTCCAGTGGGATGAAATATGTTTCCTTTAAACTAAACTGAAATCATCCTTGGATTTCTAATATTCAAATAACTTTTTACAGCTTTAATTTTCGTTTTTGTGCTACCAAGCCAGAGAGTTCCAGAGAAAGTCTTGTGACTATTGGAATGAAATGAATGACCCATCATTTGCTACATATTTTATATAGGACTTTCAGTACATAATGAATGGATAGGATCAAATTATAGATTACTGGGAAATTTTAAGTATATTCTACCTAAAGTTACCAGGTTTTTAAAATGTGTTGCATGGTACAGATAATATTGACTGATGATATTGTGACTACAGATCATGGCAGGAAAGCATTTTGTCATGATTGTGATGTGTGAACCTCAGAAGATCTGGATTCCAAGTTGGGGCACACTGCCAAGTATTTGAATTCTTATTTAAAGTATCCAGATGTCTTTTGTCAGTAAAAACTGAGATTTGGGAAGCTGTTTATTTGTTAGTTTATATCTCTACAAGAGTACATGGCTTTCTTTATTCTGATTCAAGTCACTTTCAACATCTGATACACATACCACATCCGCAGACACCTATTTTATCTCTTAATGTCCTGTGTTGAACTTTTCTTGGCAGGCTTTGGGCTAGGACTTGAATTCCAAAGAATCTCAACTTAAAAAAGTAAAGAAAAAAGGGACTTTTTGTTTCATTTTGAAAAAAATAAGGGCTACTCAAAGGGCTATAAAAATGTGCATACCCTTTGACCCAGCAATAACACTTCTAGGGCTGTATCCCAAAGAGATCATACAAATTGGAAAAGGACCCACTTGTACAAAAATATTCACAGCAGCTCTTTTTGTGGTGGCAAAGAACTGGAAATTGAGAGGATGAGCATCAATTGGGGAATGGCTGAAGAAGTTGTGGTATATGAATGCAATGGAATACTATTGTGCTATAAGAAATGATGAGCAGGCAGACTTCAGAAAAACCTAGAAAGACTTGTATGGTCTGATGCGGAGTGAAGTGAGCAGAACCAGGAGAATGTTGTCCATAGTAACAGCCACATTGTGTGATGACTAATATTGGTAGACTTAACCCTTCTCAGCAATGCAAGGATCTAAGACATCTCCAAAGGTCTCACAAGGGAAAGTAATATGCACATCCATAGAGAGAACTATGGAAGTTGAATTGCCAATGTTTTCTTAATATTATAGGGCCTTTCCAATATCTTTCCACATGTCTTCAATTTTTTTTTAATGTAAGTTTTGTTTTCCTTACTTTTTTTTCAATTAACAAGCATTACCTCCTACTTCTACTATTACCATGGCACTCATTTTAGTAAGCATTTAGATTTCCTCTCCCATTTGGCCAATTCTGCTTTTTAAGGCATTTTTCTCCTCATTGGATTTTTGGACCTCTTTTGCCATTTGAGTTAGGCTATTTTTAAGGTGTTATTTTCTTCAGTACTCTTTGGGTCTCCTTTAACAAGCTGTTAACTTGTTTTTCATTATTTTCTTGCACTACTCTCATTTCTCTTCCCAGTTTTCCCTCTACTTCTCTTACTCCCTTCTCAAAATCCTTTTTGAGCTCTTCCATGGCCTGGGACCAATTCATATTTTTCTTGGAGGCTTTAGATGTAGGAGCTTTGACTCTGTTGTCTTCTTCTGGTTGTATGTTTCAATCTTCTTTGTCACCAAAGAAAGATTCTATGGTCTGTCTTTTTTTTTTGCACAGTTTGCTCATGATCCCAGCCAATTACTTAAGTTACAAACTCTTTGTTAAGGTAGAGGTTGATTCCAGTGTGGAGAATATACTGTCCCAAATTTTGTAGGTTTTGTGCAGCTGTTTTCAGAGATATTTCTAGGGACTTCTAAGTTTTCAGTTCTTCCAAGGTAGTATAATCAGTGGCAAGGTGTTTACTCCTTTCCTGGCCTGTGCTCTGGTCTATGAGTGACCACAAGCACTCTTTTCTGCCTTGGAACTGTCAGGAGGATTCCCTCTTACTGCCACTCCAAGCTCTACAACGCCAGCATTCATCCTCACCCCAGGACCACCATCCTGAACTGTCACCTAGATTCAAGCAGGAGCAAAGCAAGGGAATCCTGCACCAGCAAAGAGATCCCTGAAGTCCTCCTCTGATCAGCCACTCGATTCCTCCTCAGTCTGTGGGCCAGAAGCTCTGGAAGCAGCAGCCCCAGGGCTATGCCAGGACTGGGGCTGAGACCAAGCTTCTCTCTCAGCATAGACACAGACTTTTCCTACTGACCTTCTAAGTTGTTTTTGGCCTTTGTGGGTTGAGAAGTCTAGAAATCGCCATAGCTCCCTTTGATTCAGTCCACTGAGGACTGCTCCAGGTTCGCTGAGGCCTGTTTTGCATATGCGCCCATGCCAAACTGCATTCCTCTCCCTTCCTGGCACAATAGACCTTTCTCATCAACCATCCAGGTTTGTCTTGGGCTGGAAATTTGTTTCACTCTGTCTTTTTGTGGGTTCTGCTGCTTTAGAATTTGTTTAGAGCCATTTTTTACAGGTATTTGGAGGAGATTGGGGGAGAGCTCAGGCAAGTCACTGCTTTTACTCTGCCATCTTTGGCTCCGCCCCCCCAATGCATTACACCCATTTTAAAAAAGAAAAAGAAGGTATTGTAGCAAATATGCGTCATCAAGAAAAACAAATTCCTTCATTGGTCAAATGTTTTCTTCCGTCCACCTAAAAATAGAGAGACTGATCAATGAAACATAGTAGTCATACAAAATGAACTTGGTAGCATAGTGTTGGATATACTACTACAATAATATGAAGACAAACAACTTTTAAGGACTTAAAAATTCTGATCAATACAATGACCATTCATAATTCCAGAGAACTTATGATGAAGTAACTGGGTTCTTTTGGCTTTATCAAACACTAGGCTACTAAGTTAAATTGTTCTATTTTTAAGCACTACCAAATTATTTTGTGAGCATCTAGGTGGTACAGTGGATAGAATGTCAGGCCTGGCAGCAGGAAAACAGATACTTGCTAACTGTGTATCCCTGGACAACTTACTTCACCCTGTTTGCCTCAGTTTCCTCACCTGTAAAATGAGCTGGGGAAGAAAATGGCAAACCACTCCATTGTCCTTGCCAATATAACCCCAGATGGGGTCATGAAGAGTTGGACAGGAGCGAAAAAGACTGAACCACAAAATTATTTTGATGATTACTGCTTTGTAATGTAATTTGGAATCTGATACTGTTTGCCTTCTTCCTTCTTGCCTTTTTTTATTACTTCCCTTGACATTGATTTTTTCCCCCTGCAGATGAATTTATCATTCTTCTAGCTCAATAAAGTAATCTTTTGGTAATTTAATTATTTTGGCATTGGATAAATAAATCAATTTAGGTAATATTGTCATTTTGTTAAATTGACTTGGCCTGTCCATGAACAAAACTTTCCAGTTATTTAGGTATGTATTTCCATGAAAGGTATTTTGTAGTTGTATTCATATATTCATATATTTCCTGTGTGTGTCTTGGTCGGTAGCGTCCTAAATATTGTATACATTCTGAAGTTATTTTAAATTAAATTTCTTTTCAATCTCTTCCTGTTGTGCTTTGTTCTATTATACAGAAACATGATAGTTCGTGTAGATTTATTTCATATGTAACTTTGCTAAAATTATTTAAGTTACTTTTCTTATCTCATGGAGTCATTAATTTGCTTGATCCATTCTAATTTTCAAGAAGTAGGTGCTTTGGGTAAGATTTTTAGTTTCCTGTCTTAAGCCACTAATTCACTTTCCAAATCTCTCCTCCAAATCTCCCAGTCTTTTTCCCATTCTTTCCTCTAGTGTTCTCATTTAATTTATATATATATATATATATACATATATATATATATTTAAAACTTTTGCTAGATTTCTTTTAGGAATCCTAATTGATATAGTGGTCAAGCTCTATTTTTCTCTGAGGCTTTGCTTGTATTTCCCTTGGATTTGTTCTCCCTCTCTGGGTCTGTGTTTTGGGTATTCCTGTATTAGAGGCAAGCCTGACTTCAGCCAGTGAACTGTAAGTTTAGGTTTGAAGTTGGAATGAAATGAAGCATTCATACACTCATCCTTAAACATGATGCAATCAAATCCTATGAAGAGTTTCATTGGCTTTTAGGGAAATTTTTACTCACCCATTTTGTATGGTAAGGTCAAACCCCTGGGTAGATATTAGGTCCTATCACTTCCTGGCATAGCCCTTTGTCTTTTTGTTTGTTTACATCCTTATTACATGGATGTGGAGTTTGTGTTTGGGCCAGGCCCCATATACTTTTTATGGGTCTTTAGTGGCCTTGTATAGTCTTGGACCATCTTAATCCAAGCTTCTGCTACTAAATTCTTTGGGTATTGAATGCTTTATTCTTTAAGGATCATAGGGACAGGTCATGACAGGTAGCTGCAAATTTTCAAAGAGCTCTATGCTGTCCAATCAGGTGACAGTCTCATCAATGCCCTGCAAGGAGTTAGAGGCTCAGCTCCAGACCAGCTCTAGATCCATCGGTTAGCTGGATATCTCAGCAGATTCAGAGTGGCAGCACCACCTGCACAACCTTGTTCTGAGCCCAGGGAGATGAATTTAATATCAGCTTGGGTCAGACCAACATTGCTGCAGCTCTGTTTGGAGTCCAGGGACTAAGTTGATAGTCCTGGCCCATCCCTCCTTTATTTTTTGTTCTTTGGTCATTTGCCTATTGGTCAAATTTGTGACCTTGAGCTACCTATGACCTACCATGGTTTCTCCTTAGATTTCCCGATCATTACTTGTTCTGACAGGCTCCTTGGATCTTTTTTTTTTCAAATGGTTTTGAGGGGTGAGCAGTGCTGCTACCTCCTACTCCTTCATCCCCTTTGGTGGTTTAGATAAGATACCTCATTTCAGAAACAGTTGACCTGGAAAATAGGTCAGGGAGAGATCATTTAAGAATCACTGGATTACGTGAAAGCCATGATTATTAGTTAAAAAACCCTGGATATCATATTTCAAGAAATCATGAAAGAGAGAAAAAAACTATCCATATATATTAGAACAAGAGGGCAAAGTTAAAATAGAAAGAATCTATCTTCTAAAAGAAATCCCAAAGTGAGAACTCCCAAAAATATCCTACTCTAAATCCAGAGCTACCAGGTCAATGAAAAAAAGGACTGCAAACAGTCAGAAAGAAAGCTTTTAAATACTGAGGAACCATAGTCAAGATCCCACAAGATTTAGCAGCTATGACTACAAAAGAGCTGATAACATCTAATATAATATTTCAAAAATCAAAAGATACAGGCTTATCACCAAGAATATCTTCTTCAGAAAAACTGAGTATAATACTCTAAATGAAAACAATATGGACTTTTAATGGATATGGGACTGTTTTTCTTTGAGGCTATACTTATGGATGTGTTGGATTCATTCTCTTCCGGGTTTCAATCTTTGGTGACCCTGGCTCTGTAATAGTTCTTTGTCATCCATGTCATTCTTCTTCTTCTTCTTTTTTTTTTTGATTACTCATTTTTCTAAACTTATTTCCTGAATTGGTTCTTTGAGTTAGGGCTAGGCACTATGAACTCTTGAGGGAATGTTGGGTCTTTACATGGTCCTGATATAATAAAGAGCTAAAGTTTTCTTTGTATTTTCTCTAGGTATTGAGTATTATATTCCTTAAGGATCTCAGAGGCGACTAAGGCTAGGTAGTTGCAAGCTTTCAATGATCTATAAGCAGTATTATCTACGACTTGGTGTTTTTACTGCCCTACTAGTCTGAACTTGGCTGGCTTCAGGCCCATATTTGCATATGCACAACACAATTGCAGGCTTATGTTTTGTCATAGTTGCTGTCCTCAGCCATTAATTCTCAGTTAGATATAAGGCTCTGCATGTTCAATGAGACAGATCTGTAATATCCCCCCTAACTACCTACCCACCCCTAAACCATGTTTTCTATTCTCTACTCTGCTTACTGCCCCCTCAGCCAAGTCTGAGACCTTCTCTGAGGTCAGATAGACAGAGCTGAAGACCCATTCCTGGTCTGTGCTCTTGGTTTAAATCTAGGAGTGTGTTTGAGACATTTCTAACTAGATCATGAAAACCATTGTTAAATTTTCATTGTAAGAATTTATGCCTTCAAAATAGACAAACACAAATTAGGATTTTATTGTTTTATGACTGTCTAGATTTTAAAAAGTAATGGATAAAATATTAACAACATAGATTAAAATTAAAAGTATGCCATGGGTACTTTTTTTTTTTAAGTCAGTTGTTAAATATCAACCAGCACTTTCTGGTTAAATCAGAAAGCCTGTTCCAGGGTTAGAGAGTCAGAACAAAAGGTTCACACCTAGTCCACATCTGTGAGATGAATCCATAATGCTTGGCTGAAAAAAATGAATCACTATGTTTTCTTTTTGGATTTCCCAATCATTGGCCCATCTGGTACTTTTCCTCTATCTTTGTTGGAATAGATTATGGAGAATCCTAGGCTGACTTACTCCCTCCTACTCTGCAATTTTTCTATTAGTTTTCCCTATTTCTCTGTGGCACATCTTCAACAGTGGTATTTGATGACTGTACTTAGGGATATTCCTAGATACTATTTATTCCTTTTATAATATTTGCTATGGCACCATAAAATAAATTGTGACCAGGTACAGAAATATTTAAATATCCTCATTCAAATATTATGGAATGATGTATTCATTCATGATAATTGTAACAGATACTAGCTTTGAAAAATAATAACGTATTTTGGTATAGTTGAGGTATTAGTTAGATTCATGCCATTAACAGACACAAAAAATCCCATTTCAGCCTTAACTAATTCCTCAATTTCTCATTTTTTTCATCTGATTTGGGTTTAGGAATTAAGTAATTTGTTATGATTAACTTGAATTGATCTGGCATACATTGGTATTTGACTTGGAGCTGAGGATATTGTTGACAAAGTGCAAAATGAAGTTCTTACACATACTGGTGAGACTAATTTCTAAATTTTTATGCTGCAGTATTGGCATATAGGAAAAGCATTGATAGCTATATTCAATTTCATGCACATTTCTGGTTTACTTGCTTTATTGATCAGTACTAATTCTACCAAAGCATTTTTAGCAGATATGGTACTGATATTTCTGTTTTGTTCTCATATATCTTATGGTACCAGATCATGAAGGGATACCAGGCAGTGAGCTGTCCTCCATGTTGATCTTCACAATAGTTCTGAGGAGTGCCAGCTTGCAACTCTATGCTACCCCATCTATTTCTTCGGTTAATAAAATGGGATGCTAACTTAATCAGTGGTATCTCCAGATCCCTACTGACCAACCCTTCGAGGGTCTTTATATACCTTTAGAGGTACTGTAGCAATCTAAAGGGGATAGCTACGTGGTATAAAGGTATAAAGTCCCAGGCCTGAAATCAGGAAGACTCTTTTTGATTTCAAATCTAGCCTTAGATACTTAACTAGCTGTGTGACCCTGGGCAAGGCACTTAACCCTATTTGCCTCAGTTCCTCATCTGTAAAATTATCTGGAGAAGGAAATGGCAAACCACTTCAGTATCTTTGTCAAGAAAGCCCCAAATGGGATCGAGGAGAGTTGGACACAACTAAAATGACTGAACAACAACAAGAAGTCTAAAGGTGCTCAGGATCCCTACTATACATCATTCAAACTGGAATTCCCTTACTTTGTCATTCTTTCCTCATCACAAGAGGGACAACAGATTGGACTTTGAGGTTTTATAATGGTGTTGTTATTACTATAAAGTGAAAGAACATTGTTTAATGCCTGGGGTACATAAAGCCATACCTATGCATATGTCTATACAAGTTAACAAAAATTAAACAAAATATTAGCTACATTTAAATTATTATTTTTAAATCACTTGGTTGGATTTGGTCAAACAATAGATAGTAATTAGTTTCTTTGAAAATAACCAAAGTAAGGAGCAGCTAGGTGGCACAGTGGATAGAGCACCAGCCCTGGGTTCAGGAGGTGCTGAGTTCAAATCCGGCCTCAGACACATAACACTTACTAGCTGTGTGACCCTGGGCAAGTCACTTAACCCCATTGCCTAGCCGAAGAAAGAAAGAAAGAAAGAAAGAAAGAAAGAAAGAAAGAAAGAAAGAAGGAAAGAAAGAAAGAAAGAAAGAAAGAAAGAAAGAAAGAAAGAAAGAAAGAAAGAAAGAAAAAAGAAAATAACCATGTTAAAAAAAAGAATTCAGTCCCACTGAACCCATACTTCTATATGTAGCCATAGTCAAAGATCAGAGAATGTGAATGAGCTCTTTTTTGATGAACTGTGACTAGATGATACTTTATCCAGGTGAGCTGGTCTGGCATGAAGATTACAATTGTTTGTTCTGAGTAACAGAAGAAATAGGATCTTCCTAAAACGCACCAACGCCCATATCACCCTTCACTGCCATTCAATAAACTCTAGTGGCTCCCTATTACCTCCAGGACTAAATATAAAATCTTATGTTTGGCCTTTAAAGTCCTTCACAGTGTTGCGGGAAGGTTCTTCTCTTACACTTTCCAGGATGTGTCCATATCGTCCAATCCAAGTTGAATTGAAAATCTGAAGCTACTCATTATGGTCATAGGTTGTGTGATAGAAAGTGTAGAACCAGTTTTTGAGAGCCAAGATGATGGAGTAAGCAGTAAATCACCATAACTCTCCAATATTCACTTTCAGAAAACCATAAAACAGCACCCCCAAACAAATCCTGGAATAGCAGAACCAGCAAAAAGATGGGGTGAAACAATCTTTGATCCTAAGAAACTTGGAAGATCAGACAAGAAAGATCTCACTTGGGTAAAAGGGGAGCACAATCCAGGACAAGAATCATCCCAGCAAGCCAGCAGCAAGCCCCACCTCAGCAAATCAGCAGTAGATCCTGAACCCCAGGGCAGTGGGGTAGGCAACAACAACACCACAATTTCCCATGTGTGGCCAGACCTCCACATTCTGGAGTGTAGCCCTGGGCAAACAGAAAAACTGCAGCAGCCAGACCACCACTTACTTCAGTGTACCCATGGGAAAATGCAGAAACAACTCACATGCCTTAGCATAGGCCAGACATCAGCGCTAGGACCTTGGCTTAGCACCAGGTAAGCTGCCAGACCCCTACAGCCACCAGCAGTTCCAGTCACCCCCCCCCCCACCCCCACCCCACACTGCACTCCCTCAGTGCAGCACCAGACAGGAAGGTTCCCCATGGCCTTCAGGGCAACATCGGTGCAGAACCAGGTAAACAGCCAGGGTCTGCAGCCCCTGGCACAAGAAGCCTGACACAGTGCTCATTCCACCCCAGAAGCAGAGCTCAAATTAAAAGAAAGGAAAAAGGCCAAAAAAGATCAGCAAATAACAACAAAAACAAAGAATCTGACCATAGGAAGTTATTATGGTAACAGAGAAGATTAAGACACAAACTCAGAAGAGGACAATAAGTTCAAAACACCAAAGAAAAACAAGAAGTGGGGTAAATTATTTCACATGAATAGGCATGAAAGACTTTTTACAGTGGAGGGGAAGATAGGAGGGTGGATGATAGGCATTGCTTGAACCTGACTCTCACCAGTATTGGCTCAAAAGGGAATAATATACACAATCAGTTGAATATAGAAAACTATCTTACCTGACAGGGAAGCAGGAGGGGAGATTAAACGGGGGAGCTGGGAGAAACTGACAGAAGGAAGGGCAGATCAGGGAGGTGGCAGAGAGAAGCAAAACACTGGTGAGGAGGGAAAGGGTGAAAGGAGAAGACAAATGGGAGGAACAATAGGATGGAGGGAAATACACTGTTAGTAATCATAACTGTGAATGTGAATGGGATGAAGTCTCCCATAAAATGGAAGTGGATAACAGAGTAGATCAAAAACCAAAATGCTACAATATGTTGTTTACA